GGGTCTCACCTCAAATCTGGCCAATAACGCCCCATCCGTGGATACCTCCACGCGTGCCCTCAATGCTCGTAAGCATGTGAGTAAAACCCCCGACGATGAACTCTTCCTGCTCAGTGCATCAGCTACTACATTAGCCTTGCCTGGATGATAGTCAATGATCAAGTTGTAATCTTTGATCAACTTCATCCATCTTCTCTGTCTCATGTTCAACTCCTTCTGAGTAAACACATACTTCAAGCTCTTGTGGTCAGTATAGACGTGACACAACTCTCCGTAGAGGTAGTGCCTCCAAATCTTCAATGCAAACACCACAACACCTAGCTTCAGATCGTGTGTGGGGTAATTTACTTCGTGCTTCCTCAATTGCCGAGAAGCATAAGCAATTACCTTCCCTGATTGCATCAGTACACACCTAAGTCCCTGAATGCTAGCATCACTGTAGATGTCATACCCTAACCCTTGCACGGGTAGGTCAAGCACTGGTGCTTCGGTCAAACGTTTCTTTAGCTCAAGAAACCCCTTCTCACACTTGTCATCCCACACAAACTTAGCCCCCTTTTTAGTGAGCTTCGTGAGTGGAGATGCTATCACCGAGAACTTCTCCACAAATTTGCGGTAATACCCCGCTAAACCGAGAAAACTCCTTATTTCCTTCACATTCTTGGACCTCTCCCAATTAGTGACTGCTTCAATGTTCGAGTTATCAACTGAAATGCCCGAGCCCGATACCACATGCCCGAGAAAACCGATCTCTCCAAGCCAAAATTCACATTTAGAGAATTTGGCAAAGAGTTGCTTCTCCCGTAGTGTTTCAAGCACAAGCCTTAGGTGTTTCTCGTGTTCTTCCTCATTCATGGAGTATATCAAAATGTCATCTATGAATACTATAACGAACTGGTCCAAGTATTGGTGAAATACTCGGTTCATGAGGTCCATGAATGCCGCGGGGGCGTTCGTAAGCCCAAACGACATTACTAGAAACTCATAGTGACCATACCTTGTACGGAATGCACTTTTGGGTATGTCACTCTCCTTGATCTTCAGTTGATGGTAGCCTGACCTCAAGTCAATCTTAGAGAATACGGTTGCCCCCCGTAGTTGATCAAACAAGTCATCGATCCTTGGCAAAGGATATTTGTTCTTTATCGTGACCTTGTTCAACTGACGGTAATCGATACACATTCTAAGTGTACCATCTTTCTTCTTTACAAAGAGTACCGGTGCTCCCCATGGTGAATGACTTGGTCTAATGAACCCGTTATCCAGTAATTCTTCTAATTGAACCTTCAACTCCTGAAGTTCAGCCGGTGCCATCCGATATGGAGGAATCGAGATGGGTTTTGTGCTGGGTTCTACTTCAATAGTGAACTCAATTTCTCGATCTGGTGGGCCAGTTTTGGAAGGTGGGCAGGGGGGCACATGCCCAGGGCCCAGGTTTAGTATAGGGCCCATAATTTTATATGTTATATTATATATATATATATATATATATATATATATATATATATATATTATTTTTATAATATTAATAAGAATACTCCAGAATCCTAGATTGCATCGACGATTGCATCTCCATAATCGACCCAGCTAATTTGGCCGACAAAGAGAAGTCAAAGCGCTTGGCCGCTTGCATCTCTTCGATTTCAACACCACCGGTCACCGGGCTCACCGCTTCGATTCCTATTCCATTGAAACGGTAATTCTCCTTCTCTATATATATGTCTGCTAATTCTCCTTCGATCTCCATGATTCCATCCAATTATCCAAAATCCAAATAAATGAATAATCCAAATTCAGCATTCAGCAATTCTCTCCTTCGCCCTTCGGTTTAGTACTGATATTTTATTGTGAGTGGCTTTGATTGCAAATTTGCAATTGTCCAGATTCAAAGCTAATGTTTGATTGTTTGAATAGTTTGATGTTTCTAAATATTTAACTAAGAACTTTTTTCTTGTATTACAGGTTGTTGACTTGTAAACTTGTTGTCCTGTTGATTACAAATAACAACATCCTGAGTGAGTTGCTGCCTTGCTGGCTCAACTGAGTTATGGTTTTTCTCTAGTTTCATTATTTTAGTATCAGCTATCATTGACAGATTGTGTTTCACTGATTGACTTGATTGTTTATAGCTGATAGCTTCAATCTTCATCTAAAATGTTTCCTAAAAAACATTTGTCTGGAAGTGAAAAAAGGAAAAAAAGAAAACAAGTTGATGAACTAATTAATTCTCGGAGAGGAGCTTTGGATAGGTTTGTTAAAATAGGGCGTTCCTCTAATGAGAATACATGCCAATTGAGTGAGCATGATTTTGAAATTGTTAATGAGCCTAATGTAAGTGATGAGGGAAATCAGGGAATTGATAATACACAAAAAACATTTCAAACAATAACCAAAATGAGGATACTGTTGATGTTCAAAACTCAAGTGACCAAAATCAAAACATTGGAAATGTTTTAGAAGATGAACAACCAATTCCATTTTTAGATATTTATGATCCAGCCAATTGGGACAATATTGAAAATAAAGTAAGAGACCTTTTGGTTGAAAAAGGACCGATTAGAGAATTAAATCTTGAGTTTCCTTGTGATAAAACATCCAGGCGCTTTGCATATAGTTATTACACTAGAAAGCTAAGTAACAGTGAGAAGAGTGACAGAAAATGGCTGATTTATTCGAAAAAACTAGATAAAGTATATTGTTTTTGTTGCAAGTTATTTAGAGCTAAGTCTAATCAAAGCAAGCTATTGATGGGTATAATGATTGGAAACATCTAGGTGTGAGGCTAAAAGATCATGAAAACAGTCTTGAGCATATGAGTAATATGAAATCTTGGAGTGAATTAAGAGTTAGATTAAGTACAAATCAAACTATTGATAAAGATTTACAACAACAAATTTTAAAAGAAAAAGAACGTTGGAGAAATGTTTTAATAAGAATAATTGCTGTTGTGAAATATCTTGCTAAATACTGTTTGCCTTTTCGTGGATCTAATGAGAAACTTTACCAAGATGGTAATGGAAACTTTTTGGGATTGATTGAGATGATAGCTGAATTTGATGTTATAATGCAAGATCATATTAGGCGCATTCAAAGTCATGAAATTCACTACAACTATCTTGGTAAAAAAAATCAAAATGAATTGATTTCTCTCTTGGCTCACAATGTTCAAAACTCCACCATAAAGATTATCAAAGATGCTAAATATTTTTCAGTAATTCTTGATTGTACGCCTGATATGAGTCATCAAGAGCAAATGAGCTTAGTGATACGATGTGTGAATGTTTCTGGTGTTAAAATTAAAATAGAAGAATATTTTTTAGAATTTTTGAAGGTGGATGATACATCTGGTTTGGGGCTTTTCAACGAGTTGTTAAATGCACTTAAATGTCTCGGTCTTAATGTTGATGATGTGAGGGGTCAAGGTATGATAATGGTTCAAATATGAAAGGGAAGAATCAAGGGGTTCAAAATCGATTACTTGAAATAAATCCTAGAGCTTTATATATGCCTTGTGCTTGTCATAGTCTAAATCTTGCTCTTGGTGATATGGCTCATTCTTGTGTTAAAGCTGTTTCATTTTTTGGAATTGTTCAACGCATATATACTTTATTTTCAAGTTCAACAAAAAGGTGGAAGGTTTTACTTGATAATGTCTCAAATCTTACTGTAAAATCCTTGTGTAATACACGTTGGGAGAGTCGAATAAAAAGTATCAAAGCTATTAGATTTCAAGCTCCCCAAATAAGACAAGCATTGTTTGAATTATCTAAATTGGGTGATGATGCCAAGACCAAAAGTGAAGCATTAAGTATCGTAAGTGCATTTGAAAGTTTTGAGTTTATACTTGGTATGCTTATTTGGTATGATGTTCTGTTTGCTATTAATATGGTGAGTAAGAAACTGCAATCTAAGTTTATGTGCCTTACTGCTACTATGAAACAAATTCAAGGTGTAATGATTTTTTTTTTGAAAAATTTAGGAATGAAGGATTTCTTTCTAGTATGAATATTGCCAAAGACATTGCATGTGAAATGAATGTAGAGCCCATATTTCCGACTCGAAGGCGAGTAACTAGGAAAAGACAATTTGATGAAAATGAAAATGAAACGGAACTACAATCAGCAGAAGAATCTTTTAGAGTTAATTACTTTCTAATGGTCGTGGATATGGCAATATCTTCATTGAATAATAGATTTGAGCAGTTAAAGATATTTGATGGCATTTTTGGTTTCTTGTACAATTCTGAGAAGTTGAAGTCGTTGAATGCTAATGAGTTAAGAGAATGTTGTGTGAATTTTGCCAATACTTTTTCTCATGATGATCTTAAGGATGTGGATTTAGATGATTTTTTTTCTGAACTTAAAGTTTTGCAAATGACTTTGCCTGATGTTTCAATGAGTGCAATGGATATTCTTGAGTTTGTTAAAGCTGCAGATTGTTATCCAAATGTCTCTATTGCTTATCGAATTTTATTGATGACACCAGTGACTGTTGCATCGGCGGAGAGGAGCTTTTCAAAGTTAAAATTATTGAAGACATATTTGAGATCTTCAATGTCTCAAGAAAGATTGAATGACTTGGCGATTTTATGTATAGAGAAGGAGATGTTGGATGATATTGATCTAGACTCTGTCATAGATGATTTTGCATCTAAGAACGCTCGACGGAGTTATTTTTTGTAATTTTTTTGTATGAAGTTATGAACTATGAAGTATTCCATCCTTGATGTAATCAACTTTGCTTTTATAATGAAATTTAGTTTTGTGCTTTATAATTTGAAGGCCCATTTTTGTAATTTGTCCCGGGTCCTCAAAATCTCAGGACCGGGCCTTACCGGAACCGAACTGGAACCGAACCGATGAAATACTATAGGAACCGAATCGAAAAAAGTTGAAGTCCAAAATTATTGGAACCGAACCGAACTAGAAATTTCGGTTCGGTTCGGATCGATTTTTCCCGGTTTTACGGTTCCAAGTCCCAGCCCTAGTTCTACTTTTGTATACTTTTGTCATTTTCTCAATACTAAAATATTAAATATTCATGCACTCAAAAGCACAAAATAAACCCCCGAACTTAATAGAGAAATTTCTAACATCTCGTATATGGATTGGATCAGTTTTCCAGAAAATAAAATTATGGTGGTGATCAATGAAAATAGCTGCACATTCAACACAACCAGCTCTCAAATCTTAACAAGGATTTCAGATCCACTTTAGCCTGCCGTGAAGCTCAACACACAGTTGGATTTTACCATCCGGTGAAAGTAGTGCCTGGTTCCTAACCTTGGCTTGCCTTGTCTCAAATTTCACTTCAAACCTCGGGAATTGCCTTTTCTGCCCCTGTTCGTTGCCCAGATTCTCTGGATGAATCTCACTGATGAACTCATCAGCCACGTCTCCGTCTTCATCAACCTTGAGACCCTTCCCGTACCATCTCAAGCCCTACATCAGGGAAAAACTATTTTGAGCATATAGCATCAATGAACAACATTCATTTAAAAAAAACTACACAGCTTGAAAATGATGTAGATGCTAGGAATGGACTACAAAAACATTTCCATAGCATCCATAAATGCATAGCTTTCCCTAATCCTTTCATATCTCGTAGTATCTTTTAAACCTTTCCATTACCATCTCAAGTCCTACGTAGGAAAAAACTATATTTTGGGCATCTAGCATCAATGGACAACATTTAAAAAAACGGCACGACATGAAAGTGTTGTAGATGCTAGGAATGGTCTATAAAAACATGATAGTATAAAAAAATGCATATGCATATGCCAATATCCACTAAAGGCATAGATCCAAGAACTCCAGGGAAATTTTGCACATTTTCCCTTGTGACAGAAAAGGTGCACTGTTTGTTTTGTCCCAATATGCTATATACTAAATATGGGGTACTTCATTATGTAAAGGAATACAACCCAACTAACCCCCCCAACCCCACCCCACCGCTCCACTACAGACAGACTGAGAAAAACTCTTGAACACAGATAACAGAAGTTGCTGATTCTTCTATCTTCTAAGTGGTCAAAAGAACTTACTTAGAGAAAAGAATTGTTTGACAGACTCGCTCCTAGCTCTGGCAAAGCACAGGAAAAGTGGAAAATGCTAATGAAAATGCCCATAATAGGAGTAAACATAGACTCGGTTCACAAATAGGACTAACTATGTTTTGCTCCCAAAATAGATACTTCTTCCATTCTTTATTAGTTCTAACCTTGTGATTTTTGCACTATCACATACCTTACTTTGACCATCATTTTCTACTAATATATATGTGTGTGCGTGTGTGAATTTCTATTAATGTGAATTTCCAAATTATTAACTTTTTATAATATTTACTAATACATACAACAACAACAACATCCAAGCCTTAATCCCAAAAGAATTTGGGGTCGGCTAACATGAATCGATCTATGATATCGATGCCAAAAAGAGAAGGCGGACAAGAAAAGGAAAAAAAGTAAGATAAAATGAATAAAATAAAGATACATAAATATAAGATAACAATAACACAAGAATATAACCAAGATAAAAGAAAAATAAATAAAAGAGCATAAAAAAGTTAGAAGATAAAAATAACATAAGAATATAAAAAGATAAGGAAGATAAACGATAAAAGAAACAAGAGAAGAAAGGTAGACAAGACATCAATCGTCCACATGGATGTGCGCCCTCCACTTTGCTCTCTCCAAAGCCATACTCTCATCCAACCCAAGAAGACGCATATCAGTTCTGATTACTCTAATCCAAGTCTGTTTGGGTCTTCCTCTCCCTCTCTTCGCTGACTCTTCTCCCCACCCCTCAAGTCGTCTAACAGGTGCATCACTCGGTCTTCTATGCACATGCCCAAACCACCGCAAACGAGACTCTTGCATCTTATCTTCTATAGATGCTACTCCCACCTTTTGTCTGATTACCTCATTTCTCAGGCGGTCTTTTCTGGTATGTCCACACATCCAACGCAACATACGCATCTCTGTCACACTCATCTTTTGAATGTGGCATTGCTTCACCGCCCAACACTCTACGCCATACATTAATGCCGGCCTAATGGCTGTACGATAAAATTTACCTTTCAGTTTAATCGGCATACCTCGATCGCATTGAAATCCTGAAGCACTTTTCCATTTCATCCAACCAGCTCTGATTCTATGACATACATCTCTATCTAATTCACCATCCTTCTGAATTATGGATCCCAAGTAACGGAACATATCACACACCGGTATCTCCTTACCATCAAGAGTAATCCCACTGTTGCTACTGCTTCTACCTCCACTGAACTTGCACTCCATATACTCAGTCTTGCTTTGGCTCAGTTTGAAACCCTTGCTCTCCAATGTTTGTCGTCATACTTCCAACTTTGCTTTAACACTGGATTGTGTCTCATCAATCAATACAATATCGTCGGCAAACATCATGCACCACGGTATATCTTCTTGAATTGAAAGGGAACTCTGCGGTCCTCCCTACATTAGTGCGAACACTTGTGGTACAAGCATCATATACATATCCATGATGATGGTGATATACTTACGTGATATGCATTTTCTAGTTAAGGCCCACCAAAGAACTTCTCGAGGTACCCTATCATATGCCTTTTCTAAGTCAATGAACACCAAATGCAGATCCTTTTTAGTGTCTCTATACTTCTCCACAACTTGTCTAAGAAGGTGAATGGCCTCAGTTGTTGAGCGTCCAGGCATAGAACCAAATTGATTCTCCGAAATTTTCACACTTTTACGTAGTCTTTGCTCAACCACTCGCTCCCAAAGTTTCATGGTGTGACTCATAAGCTTAATCCCTCGATAGTTAGCACATTCTTGTACATCACCCTTATTTTTAAATAAGGGAATGAGAGTACTCTTCCGCCAACTCACTGGCATTTTGTTGTTTCTCCAAATCATGTTGAAGAAACGTGTTAGCCACTCGATGCCTTTCTCTCCCAAACTTCTCCAAGCCTTGATCGGTATGCCATCTGGGCCCACTGCTTTCTTCCAGTCCATTTTTCTCATAGCCTCTTTAACTTCTGTTGTTTGAATCCTTCTCACGAAGTCCCTATTTACCATACACTTTGGTATAGTAAGATCATCAATACCTTAGACTTTATTCCCGTTGAACAAGGTATCAAAGTATGACCTCCACCTCTCTTTTATTTCTTCGTCGTCCATTAGTACCCTTTGATCGACATCCTTCACACACTTAACTTTTCCGATATCTTGAGTCCTACGGTCACGAAGGCGAGCAAGTCTGTAGATATCTTTTTCTCCTTCCTTAGAATCCAACTTTACATACAATTCCTTATTCACTTTTCCTTTGGCTTCCTTCACAGCTTTCTTTGCTCTTCTTCTAGCCTCTTTGTACTCCTCTATGTTCTCGTCGCTCCAACTTTTGCCCAATTTCTTATAGCATTCTCATTTGGCCCTTATTGCTTGTTTCACCTCATCATTCCACCAAGATGTGTCCTTTTTTGGTGGCAGACATCCTTTAGATTCTCCGAGTATCTCCTTCGCCACTTTGTTAATGGTGGACTCCATTGATAACCACACATCATCCACGTGTGCGGCATTATCAATAGACCAAACCTCTTCCTTCAACATTTTGTGTGCCCCTTGTACCTTAACTCGTCCACTCTTTTTACCTCGAAAATCAAGCACAAGCATCCTATGCTGAGTGACAGCACTGTCACCTGGGATAACCTTACAATCAGTGTAGCTAGTTCTCCAAGTCGTCCGTACTAAAAAGTAGTCAATTTGGGTACTATTAGCTCCACTTCTATAGTGACAAGGTGAGAGTCTCTTTTCTTGAACCAAGTGTTCATCACAGCCAACTCATATGTCGAGGAAAAATCCAGAATGTTCTTCCCCGCTTCATTTCTAGTGCCAAAACCATGTCCGCCATGGACACTCTCAGAACCATCACGACTTGGGCCGACATGCCCGTTGAGGTCGCCTCCTATGACCAGTTTCTCTCCCCTTGGCACTCGTCGCACCACTTCCTCAAGATCCTCCCAAAATTGTTGAGTGATAGATGCATCCAATCCCACTTGTGGTGCATAGGCACTAACCACGGACACAATCTCATCCCCTATTATCAACTTAATGGTCATGATGCGATCGTTCTTCCTAAACACTTCAACCACACCGTCAACATAATCATGTGCCACCATAATGCCTACTCCATTTCTGTTCCTCTCTCTCCCCGAGTACCAAAGCTTAAAACCTCCGGGATTAATCTCGCGTGCCTTTCTCCAACCCACTTAGTTTCTTGCATGCACATTATGCTGATATTCCTCCTCTTCATAACCTCGGCTATCTCAGATGATCTTCCCGTAAGAGAGCCAACATTCCATGTCCCAAAGCGCAATCTAACACCCTACCTTCTCTTCTTCACCCCACATCGACCCCCACCATGCCCTTGCATATTTGACACCATCCCCGGGCATTGGAGTGGCGCATCGCTTCCGGGCGACGACCTAGCAGCCTTAACATTCTTATCACCGCTTCCGGGCGACGACCTATCAGCCTTAACATTCTTATCACCACACTCAGACCTATGAAGTGTAGCGTGCCCTTGCTCATTTGACACCACCCCAGGCGCAAGGATGACGCGTCGCTTACGGGCGACGACCTAGCTGTAGCGATATTCATATTTCGATTTATGTCATGTGATGTGACTAAGTGATACTGTTGGCCGTCACATGCCTACCACAGCACCCTCCTCCTTTATACTGGCTTGGGACAGGCATGATACCAAAAAAAATATCTTATGGCGGAGTTAATATTTACTAATACATAATTAAATATAATTTTTTCCATCATTTGCAATGGAGCCAATGATTCACTATTTTTAGGTTTGAAAATATGATGGAATCATGGTTTAAAAAGGCGCTTATGAGGCGGGTTCTGAGGCACGCGCCTCAAGCTGAGGCGTACTGGTTGGGTATCAAGGCGTAGGTTTTTTTCGCAGGTAAAGAGGCTTACGCCTCATAGATTGAGGCGCACGCCTTGAGGCGTGCCTTGAGGCATTTGTTGAGGCGCACGCCTTGAACACTTGCGCAGTGACTTAAAACAGGTCCAAGTATTTCATTTAATAAAAGCCCAGATTTCTTTCTAAATAGAAGCCCATATACTAAACCCTAACAAGTCTTATTTCATTCAAATCATGATAAGGATTTGAAGGATTTGAACCTTAACGTATATTTTCTATTCACCTACGCAAAGAACTCTCTCTTCTCCCGCGACATCTCCTTACAACAGCCCAAAAGCTTCCAGGTAACTTTTCTTCTCCTCTCCTCTTCTCCATCCCCTTCTCTTTCTCCTATTCTTATTCAACTCCTCTCCTTCATTTCTTCTTCTTCACTGCTTTTTATCCTTCTTTTACGGAACTGTTGTTCTTCTTCTCCTTCACTACTTCTTATCCTTCTTTTACAAAACTGTTGTTCACGTTTTCTAACTGGTAAAGGATTTACTTTGCTTCCTTAGTCATGTCATTAATAATACTTCTGTGTAGATTTAGTTTAATGGTGAGAGGTTCAAAGAAAAGATGTCATGCTTCTATTGCTACACCTAGTAGTTCTGAAGGCCTTGGTGATGCAATTTGTGTGGGTTGTTTCTGTGTGTTTGTGAGACTGTGATGTGTCTGTTTTTGTGAGATGTTTCTTTTTGTGTGTTTGAAGCCTAGCGACTTACTGGTAATAGGTCACATGTATTTGTGTCTCACACTTTTTGGACTTATAATTATGGATATCCTTTACTTCTTGAGTTGTTTGTTACTAGTTTAATTATATCAAGTTTTATATGTCTGTATATTTTTAGGCTTACGCCTCAATACGCCTCAAGGCTTACGCCTTGCCTCTTAGGAACAAACCGCCTTGAAACCCGAACCCGCCTTTTTAAACCTTGGAGGGAATAAAGCAAAATGGCTCACTAAACTGTCTACGCTTCTTTGTCATGAAGCAGCAATCAGAGCATGCAATTTTGGACGTGTTTTTCACTATGGGTAATCTAGAAACAGTCTCATTGTGCTTTAGTACAGGGGTATGATTGCGTACATCTGACCCCCCATTACCCTACTGTAGGTGGGAGCCTTTGCGGCACCAGGATAATGAAAATGATGACATAATCAAATATAATTACAATCAAAGTTGTGCATTGGCAAATGTGAAAGTCAAATTGTTGCAACTATTAAAGAATGGAGGTAATATTATTTAGTCATAATACAACAACAACAACAACATCCAAGCCTTATTCCCAAAAGATTTTGGGGTCCGGTAACATGAATCGATCCATACCATCAGAGCCAAAAAGAGAAAAAAAGATAAGAAAAAAAAATGAAACAAATAAAAATAAAAAAATAAAAAATATAGTAAGATAAAATGGATAGTATAAAGATAAATACTAATATACGATAACAATTATACAAGAACATAAGAAAGATAAAAGATAAAAATAAAAGAGCATAAGAAAGATAAAAATAAAAATAACAAAAGAACATAGAAAAAAAAAGATAAAAGATAAAAGAAAAAGAGATAGAAAAGAGAGAAAAGAGAGAGAAGGAGGAAAAAAAATCAACCGTCCACACGAATGTGCGCCCTGCACTTGGCTCTCTCCAAAGCCATAAATTGGGTGAATGGGTCCTATTTATGGAGTAAAACAATGTTGATCCTATTTGGGGAAATGTATTACGCTTGGGTGAGTTGGTCCTATTTCGGTAATTCGGAAAGATATTGGAAGAAACTGAAATAAATTTAGAAGGAAAATGAATGGGGGTTAAAGTTTGCTACAAACTCAATAAAACGATGTTAAATATTTGTTCAAGGTAGTTTTTTTAAAATATTTCTATTATCTAAAGACCGAGAAATCTAAATGTATCTATACTATGTAGGATTTTAAAAAATTTAAATAATTTCACTTCATATTTAATGAGGCAAACATTTTGGGACATACCACAGCGTTAAAGTGGGAGACACACACTGGGATTGAGGGAGCATAATTCTAAAAGCTTCTTTTTGTGTTTCTTTTCCCATTATCACGCTAAGGCTATGCTAGGAACTTTGACAGTAGTATCGAAAGGGGAGGAAATGCGAAGGACAATGGTAGTATTATATTTGGCTTTAACCTATAAAATATACTCTCATACCACATTTGGTAACACTTGTGAGGTTAAAAATTATACAAACATTGCAAATTAAAGATCAACCATACAAAACACTTATCCTTAATATACATGTCATTTTCTCTTTTCCCAAATTTAGAAGAATGTATGGGTTATAGCTAGTAGCAAGAGCTTCTCGATTAGAGTTAGAAATTTAAAAATTGATTGCATGATAGAGAAATCTGTTCATTCTTAGCCCTGCACATGAAATTCAGGAATCAGAACTCTCATCCCAATCTTCTTATGAAGACATGACTGTTGTTTCTTATCCTACGTATGAGCCATCTACTACTTCTTCAGCACTTTCCTGCTAATTATCTCTCTAAACCTATGAAGCACGGATACTTCCCTAGGGTAGCGTATCGGCGTATCGGATACGTTCCCGTATCCGATACTCTAGGATACCCGTACCGTACGTTCCCGGGCCGTATCTGTAATTTTTAAAAGTTTCCATTTTTTTTGTAATTTTTTGAAAGTTTCCGATACTCGTATCCTGACGGATACCCGTATGGCCGTATCATTGGAAGTTTTTTTGGAAGATGATATTATTCCTAGAAATTAATACTTCCAGTGAAAATATGTATTAGATATTAGAGCTTTTAAAATATTGTTTTCTATCTTAATTATTCTAGAACTTTGGTACTTGCACTTTTAATTTCAAGATTATAGTTGTTTGACTTATTTCTCATTTTAAATTAATGACTTATCGACTACATTTCTACATTTATATTTTGAGATGCACTAGTGTATATGAGAAATATTATGATGTATATGTAATGAATGGGTATATATGTATATATAGGATATATATATCCAAAAAAATTATTATTTTTTGTATATTTCATAGGATATTATATGTTTATATTTCCAAAAAAATCAATTTTTAATATTTATAAATACATCCCTGTAACTTTTAATATTTGTAAATATACCCCCATAACTTTTAATATTTAAAAATATGGCCCCGTATCCGTATCCTACTTTTTTTTGTTTTGCCGTATCCCCGTACCCGTGTCCGCGTTTCCGCGATTCCGCGTACCGGTATCGGTGCTACATAGCTCTAAACGTGTCCTTATTTCCTTTTTTTCATCACTTTTCTTCTTTAGTTTCTTCTTCCTCACTTTTTTCTATTTTTTCATGAGAACTTTAAGAAGTAAAAGACACTTAAGTTATGGCCTAGATTAGAATAGACAACTTTGAATTGACATGTTTCAAGTTTCAACAACTTCAGAACAGATCATATGTCATTTGACTGATCATAGATTATTCCCATCATTTCGTGGAAATAGTTTGTTGAAACAAACTCCAAATAGATTCTAAAGAATTGAAAGGATATCAACTTTCTTTATCGGATTGGGAATATATTCATCCTAGGATTTAAAAAGTCGCTCCTTGTAAGACAAGATTGAGTTTCATGCTTAAAGAGAGGACTTGGTACATTCTTACCAAATCCAATATTAGGTGAATTTGCTTTAGTTGCAGTTTGACTTGGTACATAAACCGAAATCACAATGCGGAAAATGTCAAAAGGCGTCTTAGTCTTTGACCATTGAAACATGTTGATTATATAGTATAGGCTCGAATAGTATTGAGAAGAAGAGCATAAAGCCTTTAATTTATAAGGAGAAGAAAACTTCAGAAATCAAAAACTGTGGGGTTAAGACCTAAAGTATAAGTAGAATGTGTCCTTTAAGGTTCATCTTGGTGTTCCTCTCTGCAGCATTGGCCGCATACTTTGCTTGGATGACGGTGCGATCTATGTGTAAGCTGTAATTAAAAGTTCCTCTTTATTATAATGGGATGCATCATAATGTTATGTGTAATTATCAATCTGCTGTGGCCTGTGGCAAATTATAACAGCGTTTATATTCAATTGTGCCTCTCATGGGTTCCACTCTTCCAGAAAATCCATCAATCACATAAACCTGTAGGGCTTACTATAGTTCTACACTTCTACATAATACATATGTCCCAGTCCGATGTCATATGTCGAATCATGTTAGCAGACCCCAAGCTCTTTTGGGATTAAGGGTTGGATGCTATTGTTATGGTTGATATGTCTCAGTCTGTTAGTTCATTTGACATTTCTGGAGCACTATGCCCGCAACGTAGAGCTCCTAAAATGGAATTTCAAATAAACATTGAAATGTTTTTACACATCGTTGTTCGGAGGTTTAGTCCAGTTATAGAATTTGATCTAGATGGGGTAGGAGCTTAAGGAATTATTTTGCGGGACCAAAGTTTAATATGTTATCGTTTTTTTTCAGCTAACGCATATTTGTACACACGCACACTAGAAAAAATATTGGGAGGGGGCGAGGCCAATCCAGCCCGGCTGCTCAATGCATAAAATCACATAGCAATAACAAGATAAAACCAAAAGTAGTTTTAGTTTTAATTATAAGACTAGTGGTGATAAAACAATTTGTCTAATTAATAATACCTGAACGCCTCCATCACCCAAAGTGCATGGGAAAATGATAGGTCCAGGCAGAGGAGGCTTCTCGACTTGGACTTGAATTGGAATGCTGAAGCCTTTCCGAGGCAGATGGTGAGCTTGAGCCGCCGCGGCCTCCACGGCCTGAGAATAAGGTAGATTGGAATCAGCGTTTCCGTTTTCTTCATGGACTTCTTCAGCTTCATCCTTCACAAACCCTAGAAATCCAGCAAATTTCCTGAACAACCCCATCTCTTAGACACACTAACTGTTTACCTACACATGTATATCAGAGCTACAGAAAGAAAAGTTTGTAGGCATAGAATAGAAAATCTGAGCAAGACTGTCTTCAGCCGAATGCGACGTGATGAGAGAGGGGCTGCGGAATAGAAATTGCCGGAGATAAAGAGTCAACAGTGAGTGTGTTTGGTGGGAATGCAAAATACGAACTTTCTTTACTCTGCGGTGGATATATCTGAGCTCATTTGGTTTGTTAGATGTTCCGGGCCTGTTTAAGATATTTTCGAGATTTTTAGAAAACCGGAAAAAGTACAACAGAAAACGTGTTTACCTACTCGTTTTCAAAAACAAAAAAATGAGATATCTCTCTTTTGCTTAATAAATTGGAGAAGTAACTTTTATTAATTTTTCAAATTTGGAAAACGCGGATGTTGCAGTGCTGCTGCAATGAATTTGCATATTTACATCTAGTGGTGCATCTAATCTCGCTCCGGTGTCAGTTCCAATCCGGTCAACGACCCTACGGTCCCTATCTGGTCCGGCCAACAACCCGGCGATCTCATTTGATCATTGACCTGGCGGTCCCTGTCCGTTCCGGTCGACGGCCGAGCAATCCAGGTCTGGTCGACCACCCGACGGTCCCGGTCTGGTATGGTCGACGACCCGGCGGTCTCTGTCTGATCCGGTCCACGACCCGGCGATCCCTGTTCAGTCCGGTCCCTGACCTAACTGTCTGGTCTGATCCACGACCCGACGGTCCCTGTCTGATTCGATCGATGACCCGACGGCCCCTGTCCGGTTTGATCGATGACCCGATGATCCCTGTCCGGCCCAATCCACGATTAAGTGGTACCTGTTCAGTCCATCGACGGGCGGGTAGTCCCGATCTGATCCGGTATGGTGAATGACTCGGCGGTCCTCGTCTGGTTCGGTCAAGGACCCGGCGGTCCCTACCTGGTCTGGTTGACCCGACGGTCCGATCTGGTCATTAACCCGGCGGTCCCTGTCCGGTCCGATCGACGGGCGCGCAATCCCGGTCTAGTCCAGTCCATAACCCGGTGATCCTTCGTCCAGTCCGGTCCACGACCCCACGCCCCCTGTCCGGTCCGGTCCACCACCCGACGGTCCCTATCCTGTCCTATTGATGACCCAATGGTCACTGTCATGTTCGATCGATGACCCGACGGTCCATATCCGGTCTGACCCACGACTAAGCGGACCCTGACCAGTCCCGTCAACGACCCGGTGATCCCTGTCTCGGTCGGTCAATGTCCCGGCGGTTCAGTCTCGGTTATTTGAAATCACTTTTTAAAGTGAAGAGTTTTAAAAGAGCTGTTGAGTTGTCAACCAATAGAGTAATGGGAAAAGAATTCGTCAAACTAACCGTTGAGATCAACCAAGTCCGGCCGGTTTCGGTCCCGACTTTCCTATGTGTGGGACCTGGTACCCTACTTGGGTTGTACTAGGTTTGATTTTGGAATGGGACAGTACTTTCAGTCTTCTGGAACCGGGTGAAAAAATTAATGAACATGTTTTCAGATTTGAAAATGGAAAACTAAAGAATGAAAACAGAGAATTGGAGATAGAAAAATTGGAAAATGAAAACAGAAAATTGGAGAACGGAAAACAGAAATAGAAAACTGGAAAATATCTCTGTTAATAAACAGACCCTTAGTTTCTGTATACTTTAAAACTGTCAAAGTTTGCTCCGATCTGTTCTATTAAAGTTTGATTTGATTTAGTCTATTTAAATTTGGTCCTATCTATTCCAGTCGGGTGTGATCTTAAATTGAAATAAGTCCAAATAAAAGTATCCTAAGTCGCATTTACTTACGACTTAATTGAAAATATGACTTAGGACTTGTTTTTCAGTGGGTTGGTGCAAAGACCTACATTTTACGCCGCTTTCACTTGGAGGTAAAAAGCTATTTCTCAAACACTCCCTTAATTGTTCAGTAGAAATGATTTGATCATTAATCGGGGAAATAAGAGTCCTCTGATCGTGTCCGCAAGACGCTCATGTAGGGGTGCGAATTTTTCGCTTTTTAACTCACAAGACGAAATCTCATGAGCGCGAGACGTCCTCTCATCTCCTTCTCTTTTTACTTCTAAGGAAGAAGGTTCCTACATATAGGCTCAAAAAACTTTATTACTCCCTCCGTCCCAATTTGTAAGATACTTTACGGTTTACGATGTTTGACCGACAATAAAGCAAATTGATCCCTGTCAACACTCAAATTAGTTTTAGAAAATAAAATTTACAAATTCACAAACTACATTAAAACCGCTACAAAACCTCCAAAAAATAATTCAAATTTCATAAACTTTTGATATATAAAGTAAAAGATTAAGAGTGATTTATGTTGACCAAGTGAATAGTAAATGTATCTTACAATTTGGGATTGGGGGATTATATTTTAGGTGTGAAAAAAGTTAACAAGTTTAGTTCTTTCCTTCATTTGAAAAAACTTTTCCTACACATTGAGAATGATCGTCTTTAACCTTAAGATTTTTTGCACATTTTAAATTTTGAGGTCCTTACTCCAAATCCAAAGGTCTAACTATGGTCACAACTTTCAAAAGTCAACCTTGAGATTAAAAAAACAAAAAAAACAAATGATAGCTTCTTGGTTACACCAAAGTGCTTAGAGAGAAGGAAGAGCTATAATATAGAGAGAAAGAACTTGCAATAAATGTTTTCTGAACCCCCTACAACTACCCCCAAAGGGGGTATTTATAGAGGGAATGTGGACTGGGCTCACAGGGGTCTTGAGCACGTGAAGCCCGATTACAACTAAGTGCTGCTAATGGGCTGTTTACAGTGTTATGATCCATTAAGGAGGACCCAGAGATTGCGCGGGTAGCGGGTCCGAGACGCATGGGTGCACCTTGGTGTTGATGATGGATGTCCTGAGGTGCTTCCTTCCGAGGGGCGTATAGAACATCGGCCTCTTTCTATGGACTATGCTCTTTGAGTGGGCCTCATGTCTCTGGTACTGACCTGGGCCGTCAAACTGTCCAAGATTATGTGGGCCGTGGGTGTGAGCCCATATACTCTATCAGGAGTCCCCCACTCTCTGAGCTGAGGGGTTCCAAAGTGAGAGGGAGTAGAATTGCTATAATATTGGTCCCGTGTTTCTGGTTGTTGGTGTTCATCGGGGCATGTGGTCTGAAGTGAGACCTTCCGGGGTGTTCCTGCATTTTGTGGTTGAAATTAGTTTTTTTGTATGTTGCCGAGGTGTAGTCCCCCAGTCCCCCACTCCTGGTACCGAGATGAGGATCGGTGTGAGGAGTGTTGAAGTACTGCATCCGGGTTTGCTTTGAGGGACGTTTAATACCTGTGTGCCGAGTTGCCACCTGCGAGGTGGCACGAGATCTGATCTCTTCGGCGAACCCTGAACAAGGTAACCCTGTGGGAAAATTCTTGTCCGAAGGTCGCTGACCCAAGAACCTCACCGCGATGCCCAAGTCGAGGGGCTCACTTCGGTCTTTAGGATTGAAGTGCCTGTCACGCCCCGGACCTATCCGGACACGTCAACAAACCGCCGTACAATACGAATAGTCAACCGCAGTCTAACACATCCATACTATACAAGGCGTCTCGAATATCATTCACACATGAGTCATCCATAAACATACATAATAAGCAATTCAATACGCAGTGGAAAAAATAGTTTGAAAACAAATGCCACATGGGGAAAACATGAGCATGCAGGTTATATAGTGAAAAAAATATCCATGAGCATGTTTATAAATGTTCAAAAAATAGAATGGAGGAAACACGAACCAAGTCTTCTCTCCAAGATAATCACTCGAGCAACGAGCACAGGTAGCAAGCTGTAGCCTCAACCTGAAATGGTGGTGGGACGCCCCCCGAAAGGGGGTCAGTACTCTATACGGCTATAAAGTACTGGTGTGGATGGCATCTAATAGATATACAACAAATATTTCAAACACAAGACCCTCAAATAGGGTGATAACATACTCTAGGCCGTAACACCAAGTTACCCCTTTTCAAAATATACTTACTTTATATATAAAGTCAAGTAGTCGACCCGTAGGCCCAAGGTTTGTTCACAAAACATCAACCAAATACCCCGTGACTACCAGTCACGACAATTCATAGGGTCCAACCCTAACACATGTGTTTGCATTTCTAGAGTCCAACTCAAGTACGTCACCATGCAAATCATATGACACAAGTTAATTACTTCACCGTGCATTTCTAGAGTCCAACTCAAGTACATCACCATGCACGCCATAGGCTACAGCCTCAAATCTATCATGCATTTCTAGAGTCCAACTCAAATACATCACCATGCATGTCATCAATCACAACCCCTTGTCTACCCACGCACTTCTAGAGTTCAACTCAAGTACATCACCGTGCCATGACATAGACTCATTTCCTAAGCAAACCTATGTCTAGAATTGAGATATCAATAATCTATTTTGGGACATCCTTACGGACTGCCCATAACATGATCTTAGTTTCATACTAAATCAATTAAGTCACTTGAATCACATTCAAGTACATCACTCACAATCACATCCTAAGATTCTATTCCTTAACAATTACAAACAATCATTAACTAGTATTTCAATAATCTATTTCGGGACACCCTTAAGGACTGCCCATAACATGATCTTAGAATCATACTAAATCAATTTAGTCACTTGAATCACATTCAAGTACATCACTTACGATCAAATACTTAGATTCAATTCCTTAACAATTACAAACAATCATTAACTAGTATTTCAATACTATTAAGATTATTCATATCAATCAAATATTCCGTTTGTAAATCCCTATATATTTAGAGATATGTAGCAGCAAATTAAACATCCAATGTAATACATAAATACTCCTTTACGTATCTACACATTTCACACATGAACAAGAATGCCTATGTAAGGAATAAATGTATTTAGATTTTGATGATGCTAGGTTAATTAGAATTTGAAAGTACCCCATTAGAAATTGTGTATTAGAATTTCTTTTGTAAGTTTTAGCTTAGTCTGTCTGCCAGAGTTCCATCTTGCCTCTACCAGAGTTGCTCCCAGAGTTGCTCACCAGAGAAGCCATCAGAAACTGGTCATCAGAAAGATACCAGAGTTGGCAACAGAGACGGACCTCAGAGATTGGACCAGAGAGCCTCTTAAGACTCTGCTAAATCCACCAGATTCCGGAAGCCCTTCCAGCGGTCGTTAAACTAACGGGAAATCCCCTAACGGTTACGAACCTTTCAACGGAAACATGG